TTAAAGACAGCTATGCCTCTGGCACACCAGTCTTCCAGTCTAGAAATTTTCTTCTTCAGTTAAAGGAGGAATATTTCTTGTTAGCAGTTCACCCACCATTTACTACACATCTTCAAAGCTCTTAATGGTTTATTGTGAGGGGACCTCAAATCAGCCAAAGCCTCAAGATGGATCTGCTCTGGCCTTCAATGTTAAAAAAAAAAAAAAAAAAAAAAAGTACCCCACCCAAAACAATCCCCCCCCAATCAAACAAACAAACAAAACACACACACAAAAAACCCCAAAACCCAAAAAAAACCCAAAACCAAAACAAACCCAAAAGGGTATTAAAAGCCAAGATTATTACCTTAATCTAAAATCAGGAACTCAACTTTCAAAACAGACAAAACTGAAAGCAATTAGCTAATAAAAAATAATAACATGGTTTGAAAGTTGTTTTTTTTTTTCCCTCTACATGTTGTATCCTTTCAGGTGGTCTGTGTTTTCAGTGAATTAATGGACTCTGAGTGGTAGCAAAAGCTTCTGTTTGTTCACACTACCATTTTCCTGTGCCTGCTCAGCTGGTCCGGAGGAGGAGGAGGAGGTGGAGGTGGAGGAAGAAGAAGAGAAGGAGAAGGATGAGGAAGGAGGCTTCTACCTCCTCTCAGAGGCTTTTATTTCACCTAATCATTTCTTAAAGGAATCTACTACAGAACTGAGAGTACACAAATAAAACAAATACCATCTGTCCCAGCTATGCACGATCAAAGCACATTGTTTCTTTTACATTTGTTAAGTTTTTCATAGGATATTCTCTATCCTTGAGAGGACAGTTAAGAGGAGATAGGCTTTGCTTTAATGGAAATACATATGATTTCACTGAGCTGCTTAAATAACCCAATAAAGTACAGATATTGTATCATCTGGATTTTAAACCAGTCTTTGATGTTTTGTGAAGAAGCAATGAAAATTTGAGTTAAAAGTCACCACACTGAAAAGTTTAACAGTAGCATGGCAACTGTCCTTTTGTATCTCAGCTATTTTCAAACTTATTATAATGTGGCTTTTGATAGTCTACCATATAGTTAAGATAATTTTCATCATTTCCTATTTGTCATGAACCGAGAATATGCAATGTACAGTCACAATGTGGAGTGTGGCTTTTGTGTGGTAACTTTTTAAGCCACAGCTACTTGTTTGTGTGTCTTGTAAGGCAGAGAAAATAAAATCCCCTCTGTGGCAGACCTCAGGAGATTAGCATATTTATCAAAAACAATTAGATGTTCATATTGTATATATACCACTATTCACTTAGAAATATCATTCAATTAGAAATGAACTTGTAAACTGAAATTAGTAGAAGGAAAAAAGGACTCAGTGCATTACTGTGAAATTTGCTACAAAATTGGATATTTTTTTTCTGACAAAAAGCAGCAGTTCATATTTAGTACTGAATCACTTTTTTCATATATCTGAACTTTAAAGTGAATTGAAACAGAAAATACAGCAAAAAGTGTGTGAAGGTACTGAGAGAATATTTTATGGTAAAAAAACTATCGAATAAGTAGGACCCCTGGACGCTGAAAACTATTGACCTGTCAGCCTCACATCTGTGCCTGGGAACCCCGCAGAATCTATGTGAAGGTTCATGGAGGACAGGGAGGTGACTTGAGACAGTCAACACAGCTTCACCATAGGCAAGTCCTGCCTGACCAACCTAGCGGACTTCTATGACAGAGTGACTTCTGTTAAACCTTTTACATGGTCCCCAAACCACCCTTCCCTCTAAACTGGTGAGAGATGATGAGAGGACTCTTTGGTGGATGAGGATTTGTTTGAATGGACACATCCAGAGGGTAGTGGTTCATGGCTTAATGTCCTGATGGACACTGATGTCAAGTAGTGTCCCTCAGGAGTTTGTACTGGGACAAGTACTGTTTAATATCTTCCTCAATGACATAAACAAATGGATCAAGTGCACCCTCAGCAAGTCTGCAGATGACACCAAGCTGAGTGCTGTGGATGACACACTGGAGACCTGGACAAGCCTAAGAAGTGGGCCCATGGGAACCTCAAAAGATGTTAAACCAGGCCAAGTGCAAGGTGCTGCACCGGGGTTGGGTCAGTCCCTGTTATCAGTGCAGCCTGGGGTATGAACTGATTGAGAGCAGCCCTACTGAGAAGGACTTGGGGATACTAAGGCATGAAAAGCTGAACCTGAGCTGGCAATGTGTGCTTGCAGCCCAGAAACCCAACTTCTTCAAAAGAAGCATGGCCAGCTGGTTGAGGGAGGTGATTCTCACCCTCTACTTCCTTCTGGTGAGACCCCAGCACAACAAAGGCATGAACCTGTTTTGAGTTGTCCACAGGAGGGTCACAAAAATGGTCAAAGGGCTGGACCACCTCTCCTAGGAAAACAGGCTGAAAGAGTTGGGCTTGTTCAGCCTGAAGAAGAGAAGGCTCCAGGGAGACATTGTTGCAGCCTTTCTTTACTGGAATGGGGGCCATTAGGAAGATAAAAACAAAGTTTGTAGCAGGGCCTGTTACAACATGACACAGGCTAAATGACAAGGGGTAAGTTTAGCCTAGATACAGGAAGAATTTTTGCTACAACAGGGATGGTTAACACTGGAACAGGTTTCCCAGAGAGGTGGTAGATACCTCATCCCTGGAAACATTCAGGGCTGTGGGTCTGAGCTACCTGAGTGAGTGGAAAAGATCTCTTCTAACCAAAACATTCAATGATTCTATTCTTTAAACTATGCTATTGGATTGGTCTGTTTAAAGATGAATATAGATAAAAGTTGGGTTTCCTTTATGCACAATATCTGCTTCCTGCATTAAATGTGTTTGTTGATTTAAAAGAATATTGTTATAGATAAGACCTGAGATATTTTTAAACTCTCAGTGGTACAGAATAATTAATGCTAAGACAAGTCAACAACTGCATAGTTTATTCTTCTCAGTTGAGATCAACATAAATGTTTCCTAAATTCCAAGTACATAGGCAGTCAGACAGTTATGCCAACCCCCTGAGGACAGCTACACTAAAACTGAATTATTCCAGACACATTCCTTCCTTGTTAGTGAAAATAAGAAATTACTCCTTGCTGATAAGAACCTTCTGTCCCTATCTCAGCATGTCACCTGAGCTCAAGTATTCTGGTCAATGATCTGCACAGGAGTGACCCTGTCCTTTTTTGATGGTTGACCAAGCAAAGGGAGGATAAATTCATGCCAATATGTCAAGGCACAGAGCTAGGTAGTCAGATTAAACCTATAAATTCATTTTATTTTTCTCAGTTTCTTTCTATTCCTTTGATGGTTTTATTGTTAAGAACAGGACTACTCCTGAGTGCCTAAAAATATCTTATATGTAGGAAGAGAGAGATAATAAAAAGAAAGACTTAAGATTCTGCATTTATCTAAACTAGCCATTGCACAGCATGGTTTCTGACTCATTTGAAAAGATGTTGCTGTTTCCCATGCAAAGCCATGAATATATAGAGACACAGATTATTTGAATGCATTTTCTTAAAACATTTTTCACTGTGGGGTTTTTTTTTCACATTTTTCAGAGGAAAAATGTATTGCAATGCATTACAACGCACCAAGCAACTCCTTAAATAAGCTCATCATTTTATTTTGCCATAAAAAAGCCATGAAACAAAAAATTTTAGAAAACATACTTTTCTTTATAAATTTGTGCAGTCTGGCATAATGAAGGACTGACAACTGGAAGAAGCTTTAAGTGGTACTGCAGTACAAACAGTAAACAATACAAATAACTGGTTAAAACCATACTGGAATATTTTAAACATTTTAAGACTTCTAGAGTGCTTTTTGATGAGTCCTTTGACATGCTTCCAGTACAAGGTTGTGCCTTACAGGGTCTAGTGTTTACAGTCCTTCACTCTATAATATGAACTGAAGAGCAATAATAAATATTTACTACTGCACAGCAAGCTAAATTTTCAGTGGGGACAATCCAGCATTTCCCCTGCTTTATTCCTGTCAACTAATTTCAAAATGATCATATTTTGTAACTAATTCTAATGATATGCCGAAGAACTGACTGACATGCAGTAAGATTCTAACTTAAAATATGACAGAATATATTGACACCAGAAGTTTTGCTATCAGACAAACACATATTTTGAATTTGTTCATTACATATAACTTCCTAATATTTTCCTGGCGTTATAAAAGTGCAGCTATAGAAAGTTAAATGAATAATGAAGGTACTAAGCAAAGAAAAAATGCTTAGAGAATAGCTTTTCAAACTATTTTTTGGTTGAGTTTTTAATAAAATGCTGCAATATTGCAGAAGCATTTATGACTACTAATAAATGAAATTCAGTTGCTAAGCATTTTTATATTTGATTTTGTTATTATATGACTATATCGCTTGGCAACATTCCAGTAGCTTAAAAAAAGTTTGAAAAATAAATCTGAATGAAATTTTGAAACTGTTACACATAGAAGAACTAATGTAAGAAATTCTAGGCTTAAATTATTCTGGCAAAGAATAAATCCTTTTTTAGTTATTACTTATCTGTCTATGCTGATTATTATCACAGCATAACGTGCAAATACTGTTGTTTGGGAGAATCGAATATTAAAAGATATAATGTCAACAAAAAAACCATTTCTCAAGCTATTAAATATATAAATATTATCTTAATTAGCACAATTTTATAAATTAACATTTGAAACACTATATATGCTAGAAATGCTCTAGCATATATCTATAGTTCATAGTATTCTGATGAGTATTTTCCTCATTTTGATTCAGAAACTTTGCATTTAGATCTTGAAATATGATTACAGAGAAGTCCAGTGTGTAAGGCATTCCATGCGTGCTAAACCAGAGACGAGATAACCAAGTAACAGAGATAATCTGAAAGAGGAGGAGCAGCCCAATTTGGATTGTGATAGAAGCAGCAACTCTATAGTACATACTTGCATTTTCTGATTTTCAATAGGTCATAAATTTGATAGAAGAAATTTCTATTTCTTACCTACATTTCCAGTCATTAGGTATGAATTCTGAAAATCCATCATTCCCATTCCAACAATGTGTATAAAATCTTCAATCACCTGCATTAACTCCACTGAGCCCGGATAGATCTAACAAAGGAAGGTCAGAGACATGTCATTAGTTATAATATCAAAATCTCTAAAGCAGCAAATTCAAATAAAATGTAAGACTTAACAGTCAAGCTGTGCTTCCCATTTTTCAATATGGAACATTTTCTGCTGCTTTAAAACAACCATTTTGCTATTAAATCCTCATCCAAACAGACACTACTTCCCAGAAAGTTGTGAGAAGTCAACTTTGCACTGGAACTGTGGAATGTTTGCTCTAACTCACTGCACCAAAAACTTATTGGCCATTACTTTTATTAATGGTTAAAAAATCTCATATTACAGAGTAATTCTAATTAAAATATACTTCCTTCCTCTGGAAGATATCTTCAGTAACTTCAGAACTATTGATACAAATGGCTGAATGCAAATCTTACTGTGCCCTCTCCAGCATGATAAATTTTGTTGATTTAATCAGTGTGAGCAATATAAATTTTTACTAGTAGTTCTATTTTCATTGCTGATGTGGAGTAGTAGAATCATAGAATAGCTGAAGTTGGAAGGAGCCATTAGAGATCATCTAGTTCAACTCCCTGCGCAGAGCAAGATGAGCTCCAGCAAGCTGCCCAGAACCACATCCAGTTGGATTTTGAATGTCTCCCAGGATAGAGATCCCAGAGCCTGTCTGCACAATATGTTCTAGCATTCAATCACTCTTACAGCCAGTCTTTCTTATTTATAAATGGCATTTTCTGTATTCTAAGTTTTGTCCTTGTTTTTCATTCTGTCACTTCACACAACTGAGACTTGACTCAGTCTTCCTTTCTCCCCTCCTCCCTTCAGGATTTTGTATTATTGCCAGGACCTTTCTTTTCCAAACAAAATAGTGTTAGATATTTCAGCCTCTCCTTGCATAGTAGATGCTCTAATCCCCTAAACGTCTTCATGGTTATCTGCTGGGCTCTTTTTATTATGTTCATGTCTTGCACTAGGACTGGACACAATAGCCTCGGTATTGCAAATGTATCCTCTCAATTAGACTTTCAAAATGATAAGGACTAGTGCATTTCCAAGAAATTTTATTTGCAAAGCTGTAAGCTAATAGAATCACAAAAACATTAACTTTTTTTATATTCAACAATAATGACTCATTAGCAAAACAGTATTAAAGATCAAAGCAGTTATTAATAAGCTTAAAAGTTCTGTTCATATCACATATATAAAAAAATTCTTTACAAAATACAGTATTTTGTAATAGGAAAATAATGGATGAGCTGTTCATGGTGCTTTTTTCTTCATATCAGTGAGATGTCCAAATTTCACTTTATGAGCAATATTCAACCCATTCTTTCCACTGCTGGAACTACAGACTCTAAAAAATGCCTATAGAGACTATAAATTGCTTCATATTGCACTCCATCTTTATCTTGCTTTATCCATCTAGATCCATAGCTGCTTGGAATTGCTTAGAGAATTTCACAATGTGCTTTGTTTTCTCTATGGATCTTTTATAAAAGGTAGGGCAGTAATACTATTTTGAAGAAGAATTTGTTGTGACATTTACTATCCTAACAGGTTGCAAATATGGCTTCAGGTGAAGGAGATTTAACTTCAGTTTTCCTAATGATGAGTTACTGAGGCAGCAAGTGTGGTTTTTGCATCCATCTCATTCATAGCACACACAGAGATTATGTACTAAGGAAGAATTTCAGTGAAAAGATTTTTTAAACCCTAGTTCTTCCACATAAAACTTTATAGTAATAACTTCAGCAGAAACTGTTGAGCAGTTAGTCTTGTAGAGGTACTCTGCATTTTTATCTATCTGAAGTACTGGTTAATCAGTAGGGCACCAGCAAATCGTGAATGAAGAATATGCAGAACAGCTCTTGTGTTTTGAAACACTGGTATAAAACTTATGCATTGTGGACTTGAAGCAGCTTCCTCTGTGCGGTGCTTTACATCAGCTCTTAAAAAAAGGGTGAGCGTTAAAGTGAGTGCTGCTTATCTGAATCCTATACAACCTGTAATTAATGGTATCAGCTCTTAGCATTTAATCTAGAAAAAAAGATGTGCTGAGGTATTGCAGCTGTACACTTGAGTGAAAATCAGCAATTTGCTGACATTGAGTAAGATTTTCTTTCCAGCAAAGAATACAGAAAACAGTCTAAGAGATCTATGCTAACAGTAGTTGCGGAGTTTAGGAAAACTAGGCAAGCTGGCAAATGGTTGGTTAGAATGCACTCAGGTTTGCAATGTTTTATTACAGAAAATTTGTTTGAGTGGCTGAACCAGATATAGAATTGCCTTTAGTCCATAGTGTTTTTACTGGGCTGTACTCACAGGACATAACGGCTTACACAGATTCTTTTCAAGTTCAATTCCTACCTTGATTCTGACATAAAAACCTCAAAAAATCTTCATACAGAATGTATTAATTTCAATTTTTTTTTCTGTTTTAAAATCCAATTATTTTTAACCCTAAATTTTCAATGTTTAATGCATAATATGATAGAAAATAACATTTTGCATAGGATTTTTTTCCCTTTCAATAGTGAAAGTAAAAAAGAATCTTAGGAATACTTAGGGGTCCTGCTTATCCTTCCTAGCTGGTATTAAGGGTTAGTCGCTTCTCAAGTTTCATTGAGACTGCTTGTGTAAGTGTACAAGAACAGTAATAAGACCAGCGTTATGGTTTTTTGGGGGGGTTATATCTCAGAAATCTAAGATTTAGTGAACTCCCTAGCTTTATCACCAGGCATCTATGGGCCCACTGCTCCTGTGTACAGCTCATACTGGTCCTCTTTTGGGTTCCTGACTGCCTACCAGTGCTGTACACAGATCTGTGAGACAGAGAGAAGGAGCTATGGAAAAGCAGAAATAACTTGTCCCTTCTCTGTTTTTCAACACCACTTTTTCTACCAGCAGCAAGGAAGGGAGGGAACTGAAGATTTGTTTTCTCTCTTTTACCTCCATGTTCTCAGAATTTCCTCTTAGTTCATCTCCTGATCTTCGTGGGACAGATGGTACACAAGGTATGGGTAAGCAGGCAAATTGGAGGTAGAAGATGATAATGGATTGCATTCTCCTAACCACTCCTGATTTTAAAATCTTGTATTGCACATAAGTGCACTTGACTATTTTCTATACTGAAATATCTTACTTTGTTGAAGCATTCTTCATATGAAAATATTTCCCTGGCTTTGACCACCTCCATGATTTTTCCTCTGTACATAATTATGTTAATCCCCACTGTCACTGTTAGTTGTGTCGGAATAAATTTGATGGTATTATGGTCATGTTCATTAACATAAATATTATTTATATTATATACTTATATATTAATATATATTAACATAATTTTTTTAAAAAATAATGATGTAATTATTGCCTTAGGGAGCCCCTAGTGGTCTAGGGGGTAAAGGCGCTGCACTGTCACTGCAACTGCCAGCGCAGAGACCCGGGTTCGATTCCCAGTCAGGGCCACTCCCTGGGCAGATGGAGCTCGTTAGCCCTGTAAGGCAATCCATCTACATCCTGAGGACCTCACTGCCACCGTCCAAGCTCGCTTGGCCCTGGGAGATGAACCTCAGGATTAAAGGGTGGGCTCAGTTCCGCGCACACTGTGTCTCACCTAAAAAATCCAATGCGCAGG